AGTTATAGCTATTCAAAGATCGATGTTTCGAATTAAATACCAAAAATCACATTTCCTGCCAACATTGTCAGTGTTCCCATGTAAGTCAGATTCCAAACTGAAATAATTTCGGAGTTGATTATCTTTTGGTATGTTCAGATGAATTATTCAAAAAAAAATCTCAATCTCATAGGCCAAGTTGGAGAGAAGGGGGACCTTACTATACCCCCGCCCTCCTCACTAATATAAATGGAAGTAAAGCTTCAAACTGAAATAACTTCGGTGTTTTTCATCTTTTTAAGTTAGTATGTTCAGATGTATTCAAAATCATTTGCTACATTTAATAGGCATAGTTGGATATGGGGTGGGTTTACTGTATTCCTTCTGCCCCTTCACTAATATAAAAAAAATGAATATGAAGACTGAAATAACCTCAGAATTTCCCATGTTTAGAGTTGTTCGGATGGGTAATTCAAAAACATTTGCTCAATCTCATAAGATAAGATAATTAACTCCAAAATTATTCCAGTTGGAAAAGTGATTTTTGGCAATTAATTCGAAACATCGATCTTTGAACAGCTCAGTGTTGGGAAAATATCAAAAAATCAAATCTCACAAACGCCCAGGATCACGCTTGATTTTAGTAGACAAAAATCAACAAGCAAACTACTGCTGTTGATTTTGCAAGCTGTGATATCGCAGCTCGGAATATCAAGCTAACAAAACTCACCAACTGCAAATCTCACCAAACTGTGGTGAGTAATGATTTTTGCTTTACACCCGAATGCAACCGAAACTTCCATAACGGCTTGCAGCCTAGCTTGCAGCAGTCCCTTCGCGTCTGCCATCGGTGAAGATTAAAAAGAGATAGCAAACTATGCTTTCTCTTTCTAAGAAAACGATGTGCAATAGAATCATGTTTGTGTCGAGTCAGCTCTCCGCTTGATGTTTGCACGTTGTGAATAGTCTCGTAATATCAAAGGAGCTTGTAAAATCTATATCAAGCATGATATTTTGTTCCAATATCACGCGTGATATTGCGAGCGCATGAGAGCGGAAAAATATCAATTGATTTCTGATTTTGCCAACACTGGAACAGCTATAACTTTTTTTAGAAGCATTCTTGTACGGTATATCCTTCGACAAAGTTGATCGGCACTTCTTGAACTATCTATTACAATATTAGATGCCTGATTCATGTAAAATTGTAGTACCTAAGAATGAAAATGCAAAAAAATAAGGTTTTCTCCTACTAATTTCCATACAAATTTCAAACGCAATGCGGTAATTCGGGTTACAACCAATCGTCCCCAAATGTTGCACAGTTGTTTGGGACACAAAAAGGAACCCAAAAAGGGTTGTTCTTGGCGAGTTTACGGTTTTCTATGCAACGGTGACCCACACTAATGTTTATAAATGTGATTTTTGTAATTTATTGTCATGATGTTTGTCGTTCAATATGATATATGATTATTATATTACCATTTTAAAGCACACATATATATCATTCTGAAACTGCAGGAGTAATCAATTTAAACTCAATAGTGTCCGCTATAGGCCACATATAGTATAAGGGTAGTTTTCATAACATTGTCTTATCAAAAACAACTCATGTCATCTCTTGTCGCTGCACTTTTCGATAATGTGCCTGAAAGTCCTAATTGGGATCTTACAAAATATGCTTCAAAAGTTTGCTAAAGGTTACAAGTTCTCGAAAATAATTTGATGGAAAATTTGTATTTTAATAACAAGCATAATTTAAAACCAAATTCTATTCATTTAAGTTAATCATAATATCAATTAATTTTATTTTTTTTTATCGAAAAATTCAACAACAATCACGTGAAAACTTCTTCCAGTGTAGATTTTCATTTTCATTTTCATTTTGCAGCGTTTGGTGGGGCAATGGGAGCGCAAGTCAATCCAAAGCCGAGGATTAAGGAAGGGTGATGGCTGAATAGTCTATGCGGACCACTTGAACGCCATGGGAAGGGATTGGAGAGGTCGGTTATTGTGGGGTTTTGAGGAAATGACACATAGTACTAAATTTGTGCTACAAAACGTAAGAAAACCGAAAATTTATCTCCCACTGATTCATCCTTTCACATATATACCAAATTGATGTATTAAAGCAACCATCAAAATAAACAGACAATATATGAAAATGCTAGTTGCCAGTTGCTTTAAAGACTAGTTGCCTCCCTAAGCAAACTTTAACTCTTTTGTTAATCTACTTAATGTTATAAGGCTGTCTAAATTTTCTTATTTAAGTTCGTTTGATGATTATGATATCTCATTAGTCTAATTTAATAAATAATTGAAATATCTAATCTACCTAATCAATTATAACACATGCTTTATTAAGTACCTGCACTTGTGTATGTAATCTAAAACTTAACGTGTATCAAGTTGTTTTTGACTTTGACCTATATTTATTATATATTAGTTCGTCCCAGGTGACACCTTCAAGTGACTAAAATGCTTCACTTTTAAGTTAGTTTCCTAGCTAATTTTTTAAATTATATAGGGTATATGCTCCAACTACGCTCACACGTTTCCACTATGTCGTCCCATAAAATAACGTATGGATATGTCACAATAAAAGCACGCAACATTGGAAATCCCCAGCCATAGTTCAAACACTTATCCCAAATCAAAATGATGCACATATGTGTAAGATTAGTTACAATACCACACACTTAGAAATACCTAATTTTACACGTGACGGAATCCATCTTTGACATAAAGGATGAGACGTAAACAAATATGTAATGTAAAATTAAGTGCTTCGAGACTGAAAAGTTCGCTGAATTTCGCGTCTATTATGACATAATTTTATGTCAAAATTTAAGCTCAGTCTCAGAGCATCTAAATTAACATAAATTTTTCTAAGTGTGTATGTACAAAAATGGTGTTTAACATTCTTCCAGTGTAGATGAAGAGTTTCTGCTGCCGTTATTCAAATTCTTATTTTTTGCTACTCCGTAATAGTAAATTATAAATCTTGAACTATATCCGGCGGTGATTCGCACTTTTCTGACCATTGCTGTGCATTGAAGTGAGTTCTTATGAGTGCAATTTTCAACGATTAGATTTTCAATAATCCTACCGATTAATCGATGTCAAATAATAGATTACTTCGATTAAAAATGTATCAATTAAAAATTATTCTACTAAAAGGCTCATTTATCGATTAATCTAATAAACTTCGTACATCACAGGTTGAAAAATCAAACTACGGTGTCGATTTAGGGAAACCTGATTAACAATATTTCTTCCCGTCAGAGGGCAACAGGGGTTACAACCACCAGCAATTATTTCCGTTAATGAGATATTTCAAACCCAACAGATTTCTGATTTAATGTCATACTCAAGCACGACCTAGCACTGTGCGTGATTCCAAATTTACGACCATTCTGGAAATCGAAAATACGTTTCACACTATTCCTATTAAGTAAATCTACAATGGCCATATAAATCCGATCCACCAGCTCCCGCTTGATTTCATCACCTTTTACAACTCGAACGTGATTGCATCAGTGGGTGTATCGTGTTTATACGTGTGACTGTTTGTAGTGCCTTGGACTCAACCGATTTTTTCTTTCTTTTTTACATGCCACACTATGCGAAACAATACACCTATGGTTGACTATGTGATTACGATCGTGGAACCAACCACCCATTCACCTACCCTAGCTACGAATAGCTAGACCAAGAAAGGATGAGTTACAGTGTGGACTCTGCTGCACACTTGGTGGCTGAACGATACGAACTGAAAGTGGTCATGATGATAATAACAGGAGCGACAGCCCTTTTTGCTCTGCTAGTGTCAGTAGAATGTCAAATAAATAGAGACCATCAGACAGTCACTGGACGTCTGCATGGCATTTGTTGTAGACCTGCCCCGTTGCACAGTGAGCAATTCGGTACAAAGAAATGTAATTCAATCCAAATGCTTGCATTACCCCTCAACTAGAAATAAGCGATTTTTCATTGTTTGTTCCTGTTTTGTGATTCGAAACGTGATCCAGTTTTACGCTTAGAGAGCCAGTATTGAGTTAGAATTTAAGTAAGTTTCCATGCACCATTCCACTGTCTAATTTTCTACGTTACTATCATCTGCATAGAGGATGGGCAACGTAGCAAATGAAAATAACAGCTTTTATCAAACGAAATCAGGGCAATACAAATGGTGGGACGTTGAATGAATTGTAATCGTGTCAGACGATGTCAGATGAGATTATCTTTTGTGCATATTTAATACCAGTCAGTGGATTCCACATCGTTGCATGTAGCACATTTTCGCCGAAAGTGATTTGAAAGATAATTTTATCTCTGTGGTGCATATCCATAACTAATAATCTAAAATGTAAATTTTTGGCATTAGGTTCCTTCCCTAGTATCCTACCGTATACGAGAATCAGCCACCTCCAAAGAAGTTCACTTTCTTCAGGTAACAGTGGCTTATGTTATCATGAATATTTAAAATAGATATATGAAAATTAGTAGATATATATATTTTTTTATATATACTCTCTGGTGCTCAATTTTGTCAAAGTGAAATCGTCAGAATTTTACACCAGTGGATCAATGTCTTTGCAACCTCTAATTTAATTTTGGTATCCCTGAAAATGTGCCAAGGATTTTCCAAGTTCAAGTTCATCTACGTTGCCGTAGGCTAAATACAAAACCCGTCTAACTAGGTTACTTCATCACTTCAAGCCAATTTTTTTAAATGATGGTTTTTACACATAGGAGGAGGAGAGGCATAGTGAACAGGTGGGGCATAGTGAGCATCCCGCAGTTTGGCCCTCGATCTCTAGCTGCATGAAACAAATCAACTGGTAGTAGGTTCAATATCATTATGATATTAATCGTACCACCAACCAATTTGTTCCGAACGGCCGGAAGTCCAAGTTATACACGGGATGCTCACTATGCCCCACCTTTTCACTATGCCGATCTTACCCCTACCTAAGCAGAAATTCACTTCAAATTAAAATAAAAACATTCCAACTCACCAACTAGTTCAATCGCTTCTCATAGTTCGCTGCGCCGTCCCGACGACTGCTTACACCATCCACAGCTGCTGCGTATGCCTCTTATAAGCTCTTGCCCCTCTTGGTGTGAGAATATTGAAAACTTTATAACCGACACAAACTGCTGCAGTGAAGCCACTTGGTTATAGTTGACGATCCTTCAACCAGCTGATATGCGATGAATTGAGCTATTTATACTTTTTTCTCTATTTCTCTCACGTGATCTTTTACTTCACCACCACCCACACTAATACTGCGCTAGAACCAAGAAAAAAATAGCTGAACTAGACAAAAGACCGGAAACACAAAAGAACCATCACAATCACCACAGGCTAACGTGGGACACCTATTTCCAGCAACTTTTCTGCTTCGGTGACTTCTTCATTTTTTTTCTTCTTCTTAGCTTCGCGCTTCCTTCTCTTGCGCACACACAAACACACTCTGGCTGGGACCCAAAACCGGCTCTTGCACCACTTCCTGCACTTTTACCGCTTATTCCACCCCGTGTGTTGGACTTCCGTTTTCCACACTCACGCGTACTCACTTTTGCTTGTTACCTTCTCTTTTTTCTAGCGCCGCAACCGCGTTGTTGCTTGTAACAATGCAATCGCTCAAATATTGGCAAGGAAGAACGTAGCATGTAGTTGAAAATGGATGCACCACCCACCCATTTTATAACCAGGCGAAATTACGCCACCTTACGATGGTAAAAAATTGATAAAAATGTAAATGGTACATGAAGAATTTAATCCTGAATCGTGACAAATTTTCAAAACAAAAACTGTTGTCGTTAAAATTTTTGATCGGCTATCCGGGGAGCTATTATGGGTGAATCACCATTAAAACAACACTCCACGCTACTTGACTCGCATAATAAACCTCATTGTAGGTAGCAAACTTAAATTTTTCGTATAGTAATGATCGTTATCATAAATTTATAAAAAAAATCATTAAACTATTATCTCCAATACCAAATAATTAGATATCATGAAGTTTCTATCTCTGAAAATTACTAGTTTAACTGTTATGACGGTTTTACACTAAAATCAATGTATAAGCTCAAACCTAATCCCATTATAATCAAAATTTATTTAACTACCACCTAACAATGAAAAAAAAACTGCGATAAAATCCAACACCTTTCCCTGCATGGTCATGTGACAAAAAGAGTGAAAGATGCAGGAAGGGAAAACAGTTTAAATATTACGTTCAAGTGGAAATCCCGAATGGATGCTTCTTTGCTTTTCCCTTGCCGTCGTCTCGTTGTCGCTGGATTTGTTGAGAGTGAAAAAATCACTCATCTTCAGCTTCTGTTTGTGATATGGGTTCTTGAATGCTCGTGGGCTTTTCTTCCTTTCTTCTTATCGTTTATCCTTGAAGGCTCCTCTTGTTCATGGTTTTTTTTATAACGTACATGCAAACTCGGCCGTGTCATTCATAAAGGTACTTTTTAACACAGACACAGCGAACAAGGCTTAGAAGTTGAAGATGGTGATTCCTGTTCAAGTGCCGGTAACCGGATCGCATCCAACGAAGGGAAATCAGAGACGATTGCTATCACCATTCGCCAATCGATAAAAGGCTTTTGAAAGAAAGCGGTTGGATGGATGAGAGTGTTTGAGATTGCTGAGATGTTTTTTTTTTTTATTTTTTATTTCAGTGATCACCGATGTGCAATTTATGGATCATTTAAACTTAATAAATCGATATTTTATATAATCTGATGGATAATGCCTTAATCGATTTAGTGAGGTGCTATGTTCTTGGAATTGATTTAGGAAAACAAATCAAGATATTGACATTAAAACAGACAATAATGCATTGAAAAGTTTCGATTAATCCATCTACGGCTGACACATTCCATCCTCGTATTGAATTATTACAATGATGCAATTTACAATTGCTTCAGATTGTACTACTACCCCCAGGGTATTTATAACTTGACCCTGTGATTATTAATGTTGTTCTGGGCACTCAATGTTACCGTCACGTTACACAGGTAAGAGGATGATTACGTTTTTGGGGACACCCGAAATTTATCCGGTTGTGGCCAATGTTGAGAACCCAATATGACCCCCACTCATCAAGTTTTGTGAAATACTGAAATATGTGATGAGATCTGCAATAAAATGGGGATTTGGCTCACGCTGGGTAATTACTTTTCCCAGGACACGTACTTACGGATCATGTTCCAGCCACATCTCCTTTTACTACTACAAATAAATAACTAAAACTTTTGCTTATCCTCCTCTTCTTTTTCGCTTTTCAAACTTATTGCTTATCGCATATTAGCTTATTGCGTGCTCTCAACTTAGTGTTCTATCTAAATGCACTTCCACAGTTATTAATTGAGAGCTTTCGATGCATGCTACCATTTTTGCATTAGTATAATTGTGTGGCAAGTACAATAATACTCTATGCCCAGGGAAGTCGCAAAATTTTCCAACCCAATAAATTCGGTAATCGAACCCAGCCACCTCCAGTATGGTTTTGCTTTATAGCTGCGCCTTTATCGACTAAGCTAAGGGAGGCTTTAAAAAACTTTTGCTTATGGCGAGTACGATTTTCCCATCGCCAATAGTTCATCCACCTTGTGTTGATATCCCTTAAAAACAAAATCCACCCAAACCAGCAACGAAAAGAATAGCGGCATCGGTGGTGTAGAGGTAAGCGTGATTACCTCTCACCCCAGTGGGCCTGGGTTCAATCCCAGTCGGCAAGGAAAGTAAAGCCGTTGGTCCCCGGTTCGTGAGTTGATGGATTGATAGGTAGGGTCCAGTTGTGGGAGCTGCCTCCCTGATGTCGGTAGCATTGGTACGCAGCACGGAAAACAAGATCGACGAAAAACAAATCAAGGAAAAAAAGCAACGTTAAGAATAATTACCCTAAGCAATTTGCCATCATTCTGCTGAATGAACCAATTGCCAGTTCTTTGCTCATTTCAATAACCTGAACCATGGACACAGAAAGCGAGGGGGAAGCGTGTTGTATGTGCACTAGTAAAAGCAAAATAAATCGTTATTTTACTGCAAACATCATTTTTATCGGTAAACAACAACCGGCATGAGCGAATCTTTTTGCTTCATTTGGTCGTACTTTTCAACGCATACGGTCGTTCTGTACTAGATTAGAAGAGCGAGAAATATATATCTCTCGTGAACAGGCACACCGATACCACGAACATAGTAATCAATACATCCAAAGCAGTACTTAGAAGACAGTAGAGGACTTCCATATCATATTGTTTTGTTAGGTAGTCAACATGAAAATTAAAAAAATAAAATCAATCAAATTCAAGAGATTCTACGAAAGTAATTCGCCTTGACGGCACAAAGTGGGAGCATTCTGAAAAAAGACGGTCAAAATGCTTTTCTCGCTTTACTCGGTTTAGGTGGCTTATATTGCATTTATATATAATTTTATTAAGGTGGTATTATACTTAGAAAAACTAACTTTTTTAAATCGCAAGATAATATGATTATGTTTTCAGCAAAGTTGTAGAACTATAAATTTCATGAAACTTTGTTCAAAACATCATAAGTCTAGCGAAATAAAAATTAATTTTCGTCAAGACTAACTTAAAATCAGTTTGTTGACATGTTTTCATCATAAATCTTAACTAATTGATTAGACATGTTCTACAGTTTTCAATATCATCATAATACACAACTTTTCTGAAAACAACAATATTTTAAATAACTTCGTTTGCTTTGTAAAGCGAATTTAAAGCAAAATTTTACGAGTTTTTCAGATAAAATTCCTCAGAAAATGGTAATTCTGGTTGCCAAAATTAACGTTGACTGATCAATCATGAAGTGAAGTACAAATGTACGAAAAATTACTGTCGGATCTGCTCGGGTACATAGTCGAATAGTCATTTCAGTCGTTTTGGTTACATTTTGATTTAGTTTTGCTACTTTTATTTGTTTTAAAATTTAGTTTTTTTTTTTTAAATAATGTTAGCTGTAAAATGCAATACCAGTTATAGAAGCATACATAACATTAAGCAGTATTATGACAATACATGCTGAAATCAGCAACATCGATTTTCCCTTCCACAAGCACACTCACTTTTACCGAAAATTACTCAAATTGCTTAATATGTTTTTTTGGTGATGTCAGCAGTTACTTTTGGGCCTTTAAAAAAATTGTGATTATTAGCAGCTTAAATATCAAGCATTCATTAACAATAGCTTACATTCTCTAAATGAATCGGAACCAGCCCAGGGCTGAAAGTCTCTTTAATAAAGATATAAAAAAAAAAGTTCAACTGAATGTTTCAAAAACAATTTTTCAATATCATAGAAAAGATTAGAGACGCAGTGGGGCCTAACTATACCCCGTCCCCCTCACTCATATAAATGGAAGTAAAGCTTCAAACTGAAATAACTTCTGTGTTTCTGATGATTTTTGTTTTAAAAACTGCGTATAGTAAGCCCCCAGCCCCCCGCTCTCTAACTACGCTTAGGAGCTGTTCATAAACTACGTAGACAGTTTAGGGGGGGGTGACAATTATCCACGGCCCATACAAATTTTAAAAATTTGGTATGGACAATTGTCTACGCAGGGGGAGGGGGGTCAAGAATCCCAAAAAAAAATGTCTACGTAGTTTATGAATATCCCCTATGAGATTGAGCAAATGTTGTTGAATAATTCATCTAAACATACCAAATCGATAAGATAAGAAACTCCGAAGTTGTTTCAGTTTTAAACTTTACTTCTATTGATATGAGTGAGGAGGCGGGGTATATTATTAAGCCCCCTCCCTCCTCTCTCCTACTACGTATATGAGATATAGCGATTGTTTTTGAATAATTCATCTGAAGATACCAAATCGATAAGATAAGAAACTTCGAAAATATTTCAGTTTGGAATCTGACTCCCATTGGTTCACCGGCAGTGTTGGCAGAAAAGGGATTTTGGCGTTTAATTCAAACCATAAATATTTGAACAGTTTTAACTTTTTTTAGATACACCGTACTTCCTTTGACTAAGTTGTTAGGCACTTCCTGGACTATATTTTTTACATACTTTGTTTCATGTTTCATCCAAAATTGTGGTTTCTAAGGATAAAAATGCAAAAAAGTAGGTTTCCCATACTAATTTCCATACAAATTTTAAATTTTAAACGCAATGCGGAAAGCCGGATTAAATCAATTTTTTCAAAATTTTGCACAGTTGTTTGGGACTCCAAATGGGACTCCAAACCAAAAAAAGGGTTGTTCTCGATTGGTAAGGTAAAGTTTGCGTTTT